TTCTTTACCTCATCGGTACCTTCATGTGTAACTTGAAGCTTGTCCCATATTTCTTTGACGGTTGTACACGATGAAACTCTTCCGTATTCATCTGGTCCAAGAGCACAAAAGATAATATGGATGGCTTTGGAGTTGAGCTGGAACATTTTTGTATCTCCTTCACTCCACAACCTTGGATGAGTGATAGGCTTAATGTATCCTTCTTCTACGGCATTCCATGCTCCCATGTCACTTGCTTGAATGAAGTACATCATTCTATTCTTCCAATAGGCGTAGTTAGCTCCATTGAAGAAAGGAGGCTTGTTGACGGGCATCGAATCGAGACCGGAGTCGAAGTTTGAAGTGGAGGCCATTGATGACTTGGTAATCGATGTAACTCTTCCCGGATCGACTCAAGAGGCGATTAAACCTTCAAATGAGTTAGGCTCTGATGCCAATTGTTGAGTTAATCGAATGACGAAATTGGCCAAGAGGGGGGTGAATTGGCAATAAAAATTTTGTGGAAGCTTTTGCAGAAAATTGAAAGTAATTGCACAGCGATTTACAGTGGTTCGACTTTCTCAAACAAAGTCTACATCCACTACCTTAGCTATCCACACTAAGGATTTTCCAACAAATTCACTAATTTGTTCTTTTTTTTGAGGTTAAAGAGATAACCTTACAATTCCCTCAAGAGTATACCCCAACTCTTGAGAACACTCTTTTCTCAAAGGGAAGATTACAAATTTGCAAACTTAAAAGAAAACCTCACAAGGTAAGATGTTTGCACAATTCTAGAACAAGAAAAGAACACTCAAAGAAAATTACAAATGAGCACAATAAGTGTTCTTTGAAAGCAAAATGAATATTGAATGAAAATTGGCTTGAATTGCACAAACTTTGTGTTTGATGCTTTCTCTCTTGTTTCTCTATGATTTTCTTACTGATCAAGGGCTTCAGAACTTGTTTAAATACACCTTGGATCACTTCTGAACGTTGGGGATGATTAGAGAAGATATTATAGCCGTTTTAGTGTGAAAACATTTAATAAAACAGCTTGGAGCGTGGGGGGAATCGGTTCCCCCTCATAGGGAATCGGTTCCCTAAGTGTTAAATTCAAATATTTCGACCGTTGAACAGGGGGGAATCGGTACCCCCTTGGGGGGAATCGGTTCCCTCCGAGCATTCTGGAAATCTCGGAGCCAAACCATTCAGGGGGGAATCAGTTCCTCCTATGGGGGGGGGAATCGGTTCCCTCTGAGCAATCTGGAATTTTTGGCTTTGAATTGGTTCGAAATACTTTGTAAAATTATTTTGAAATTTTTTTATGATTAAAACTTAATTTTACACTTAAGTAAGGATCAAAAATGATTTTTGAAACATTTGGAGTAATGTTTTGATATTCGAATAGTTATATCGAATATACTTAGAAAATCATTTGGAAAATCTTAAAATCCATTTAACTTAATTTGAAAATCTTAAAATCCATTTAACTTAATTTGTTATATCGAAATATTAAAATGTTTCAACCCACAAAATTAAAAATCACAAAAGGAGATGAAACTATTGAAAGACCACTGATAAATTAAAAATCAGAATCGAGCGAAGTGAAAATCCTATTCATGAATGTAAATCGCATATCCAAATCCAATCCGAGGGTCTAAAGGAGGGAAGATCAGCATGATAACAAATAAACACAGTCTTGATCAATCGTGACGATATCGAATCAAACTTTAAAAAAAAGGATAAACAAAAACACAACAACCAAAAGACCGAAAACGTGTCATAAAGACAAAAAAACGTGTCATAAAGGCATATAAAAACGTGTCACAAAGACATATTTATTAAACAAAAATAATAAATAAATATACATTATAATAAAGCAAAGAAAAAACAATTGATACCGACGGTCGACAATCGACATTGAGGCTGATGCTGCTATTGATCATAAAGAAAAAAAGAAAAAAGACTAACGATGGCTAAAAAAAGAGAAAAAGTAGGACAAATACTAAGTCTTCCTAAATAAAAATATTAAATATACTTTAAAGGTCAATTTAGTATTATTTTTGAAAAGTGATTTTGAAAAATACAACTTAAAATTTAAATAATCGATATTACTGTTAGAAAGTGATTTAAAAAAAAAATAAAAAAGTCTATTTTAAATATTATGTTGTAAATTAAAAATATAATAACAAATTTATTTTAAATATTATGTTGTAAATTGAAAATATAATAAAAAGTCTATTTTAAACTAAAACAATAGAAAAACAATATTTAAAAAATTTCAAACTATCATATTATGATAATAAAATTAATATTAATTAAAATTAGATAAACTCATAGCATTTGAAGAAATACACTTTAATCGTATTAAGTTACACTTATCATTTTAAATTGATTATCATCATTTAATTAGTATAGTATTATATTTTACAAATTTATACATTAAAATTACTCAATACAGAAATTTTAATTAAAATAACATCTAAAAGAAAATCATCGAAAAATCCAACTTAGTATTACTTGACAAGTGTTGTTCCCATCATAAAAATGTTCAAATTTTATTTTATAAATGTACATAGGAATCAAATATAAAAGAATAAAACCATTTCAAAATTTATAATTAATTATAAGGCCTAAAAGTCACATTTGTCTATGCAGTAGATATAATTTATCATTTTTGTCACTATCATATTTTCGCATCAATCTAGCCCTAAAAGTTATTTAATTGCATCATTTTATACTATACCATTTAACTTAAACCCTAAATAGATAACCTTAATCCATAACCCTATAACCTATAAACCTTAAACTTTAACTTAAAATCATCAATTTAGGGTTTTAAGTTAGGAATAGGATATAAAATGATGAAATTGAACAACGTTGAGAACTAAATGGATATGGACAAAAGTGATAAATTAAGTATACTATAAGGACAAAATATACCTTTTTACCTAAATATAAATTTACCTTTTTACCTAAATCAAATAAAAATAAAGAAAATAAATATAAAAAATATTAAAAATTTAATGTGAAATGATAATCATTATACACAATATATGTAATGAGATTATTAGTTAATCAAATTATTATTTAATTATTTTTTAATAATATTTAATATTTGGAATCTAAAAATAATAGAATATGTTAGGCTCAATGCAAAAATAATGTCCAAACTATACCTTAATTAACTTTAGGTACCTAAAGAATTTTTTGTTAAAAATATGTACTTAACGTTTTCTACGTTATATTTTTAGATGTCTACAGTTAAAAAAAACAATTGCTAAGTGACACAAGTGATTTTTATATTTTTTTTGAAATTTTTATTTTTAAAATTAACTTAAAAATATTATTATCATTTTAAAAAAAGAAATTCAAATGTTTCAAAAATATGAAAAGACCCCTAAAATTCTTAAACTCAAATCTTCTAATTCCTTTGTCAATCACTATTGCCATTATCATCATCGCCGGCCGCTATTGCTGCTGTTACTATCACCGACCGCATATTCATTGGTCATCCCTCTCCATGATCCCAACAAAACTCTTACATGTTGGTAACCACCCAGAAAATCCTCCCTTCGTAACCACTCTTCTAATCGATGCAAACATGAAATCATGCCCATCTCGTTCAGGAATTCACGATTTCCCTAACTCGACTTTCAAGAGAGATGCTTGATGACGATTATTGTTCCACCTTCGCCAATCTTGTTTCCAGAATCAAAGGCCCTCAGGCCTTGTCTGCTTTAAGGTGAAGGAAACTGTTTGCAGATCCAGTCCCTTGAGGTCTGCAGAAGACATGTAAGAATCCATTATATATAGGAGAAAGTAGAAGGCCCCCAATTAGTCCAACATGTTCATGGACGTTAACTACTGAACATTCATAAAACTCATTTCCTACTACACAAACAGTCCAAAACTTATTCTCTTCGGCTATTGGCTTTAAAATAGAATCTCCAAAAGAGTTGTTACGAACACGGGGAGATTTGTTGGGATTTGTGACCTCATGAAAAGGGATGATCGGAGGGTATGCGGCCAGCGACAATGACACTGACCACGTTGCACGGCGATAACAACTAGGGATGGGCACGGGTCGGGTTTTGGCCAACCTGACCTAACCCGAAAATTTTACATTATCCACCCGACTCGAAAAACATATACCCTCCACCGACCCGAATTTTTAGATAAAATTCGAACTCGATTCGACCATACCCGAAATAATAAATAAAATCTTATTTTTTATTCAATTAAAACAATGATTTAATTGAAAAAATAATATATAGAGTGGGTATTACTGTAATTATTTCTAAATATATATGGTAAAATTATTTTTTCCCCGGTCGGGTTGAGTATTTTCACCCTAAACCCAATTCCGATCGACCCGAACATCATCTTTAAAACACCTGGTCCAAACTGATTTTTTTTTTAAAAATCGACCCGATCGGGTCGGGTCGAAACTTGTCGGGTTCGAATCCCATGTCCATCCCTAATAACAACAATAACAATCGGCAAAGAAGTTGGATGATTTGAGTTTAGGTATCTTAGGGGTCTTTTTTATATTTTTAAAACATTTTAGTTTTTTAAGAATAATTTAACATTTTTAAGTTAATTTTAAAAAAATAAAAAATTCAAAAAAAATATAAGCATGACACATGTCACTTAACGATTTTTTGAACGGTATACACTAAAAGTGTAACGAAGAAAACGTTAAACACATATTTTCAACGAAAAATTCTTTAAACACATGAAGTTAACTAATAATATTGTTTGGATACTTATTTTTACATTAAGCTAATATTTTAATATAAATTTAGTTAATAATTATATTCTTAGTTTTAATTATCACATAAATATGACATTATTTAATTGAGGTTAATTTAAATTAATTTATTATTATCATTATAAATAATTACAAACATATATATATACACAGGAAGAAGCTGTTTAATAATAATTGTAATTATAAGATTACTAAAATAACAATAAAGATAATAATAAGAATGGCCTTAGATTCTTTCGGTGGTTTACAGGCCGGATATCCAGTCGGGAGTGCATGGAACCCCGGTATTCGGAATCCATGTATTGGACTTGAGGTAGGGGCCAGGGGTAAACGTCTTGGCCGTGTTAAGATCAACTTTCTTGATTCCAGACCATTTGACTCTGCCGTCCGTTTTGGCGCCAGGTCCCCGGTTGCCGAACTCGACGAAGTAGGAGGTAGTCTCCCCTTTGCCGGGGAGCATTGGAATGTACCCTTCCGGTGCGATGATGTCGTCGATTTGGGTCTGGATGATGATGGCTGTGGCAAGAATCTTCCATGGTCTATTGAGATAAGCTTTGTTCGTGTCCTTCACCGGGATATAGTCTTTGTCGCCAGAGATGGTGCAGTTGTGTAGAACGAAGCCGCCAGTGGAGTTATGGAACATTTTCCCCTGTGCAAGGACAATGCAGTTCTGTTTTGGACCAGGTTTCCTCACAATAATCTGGCAGTTCTGGAACACCGCTCTGGAGTCGCCGAAGATGAAGTCAATGGTGCCGGTGATGACACAATCGCGGAAGAATTGCATTTCCTTATGTGCGTAGAGGGTGTCTTGGTACCCGTTGAAGTGACAGTTGTAGAAGACGCCTAGGTCGCCGGTACTTCTCAAGGCGACGGCTTGCTCACCCTCGTATCCGGCGGTGTTCTCAAATCCGATGTCTTTGGCTATGAAATGCTTCGCATCAACGGCAACAGTTGCAGTGAAGAATGTTCTGAGTTTACTCCTTATGACGCAAATGTCATTGGTAATGACAGTCTTGGTCGGACCATCTCCGATGAGCATAACATGTTCGGCTTCCTTGATGATGTGAACCTGCTCTTTGTAAACTCCAGCCTTAACGTGAATAATAAATCGTTGGGTATTCTTTTTCGGAACTTCAGCCAATGCCTTGACGATGCTATCGTATTTTCCACTTCCGTCTTTAGCAACCACCACGTTAGGCTTAATGGATCCCGCATTCGCCTGGAGGAGTCTCCGGTCGCTGTGGCTTAACCAGACAGGAAAGTCACTGTTCTTCTCCGACAAGAGTTTACGTTGTAACGGCGTGGTGCTGATGTTTTCGATGCTGGGGATGTTGAGGTCTTTTGCGATGGAGGATAACCCGTACATCATGCCGAGGGCGTTCATGTTAAGCTCCTGTGCCGTTTTCAAGATCGACTTCATTTCTCGGCGGCCTCGCCGTTCTCCTCCGCGAACGAGTCTATGCAGGTTTGCTGGCTGGTGAGGGCGCCGCTCAGCCACACCTGGATGTGCAAGAGAATATCGCCGATCTTGCTCATATCGTACTCGCCGAGCTTGTTGAATGAATCTTCTAAGTCGTCAATGGCGAAATCCAACACCTCTTTACAAACCTCTAAAGCATTCTTCTTACCTTTGTCTTTCTCCAGCTCCTGAAGCGTTTTCGAATCCGCCAACACCCTCTTTATCTCCGTCACCGTCGCCTGAAACCCGGTCCTTATCAACTCCTTCGGATCACTCGAGCTCGACGATTCAAGGCTCTTCTCACAGGTTTCCTTGAAAGCCGTGGGTTGGCAAACGGTCTGCACCGCCTTCGAAGAAGTCGATATTTTCTCCTTCTTCGCATCATTCAACCCCACGGCGAACACCACGGCCACCACGGAGGCCACCACCGCCACCAAGCAGACAAGCACAAAAACAACGTTATTAGCCATTTTTAAACAGCTTTCCCCCTGGTTATTAAAACCCTAATAGAGACGAGAAATACAGAAATCTTTTTCCTCCCTTCTTTTCGCTTGAATCCGAACTTCTCCAGATGGAAGAAAGAAAGAAAGAAAGAAGATTATTGCAGCTGCGTGGGGCTGCTTATTGCTTATTTATCATTGCCCGTTGAGCTGCTTGAATTATCTGCATTTCCATTCCCCTATTTATACTTGAAGGAGATCACTATTTTTAGCTATGCCTTCGTTTTCTATGATCCACAGATCCACCGGACGTGCCAGTTTGTTCAAACTTCCTCAAAATTTATGGATTTTACATTTAAACACTAATTTAAATATTTTACATAATTTTAAATTTATATATTATTTGTTATATATTTTAAATTTATATTTATAAATTATTTATCAAATATATGAGTCTCATAAATATTTTAAGTAAAGAGATAAATATAAAGTAGATAATAGATTAAGACTGGTCTATTTCAATACATTGTAATTTGTATGCATAAGTAAAGCACATTTAAATGGATATTCAAAAGTGAATATAATCAATATTAATTCTTATAATTATACATGGAAAAGTGAATATATGAATCTTTTAAATATTTTAAGTAAAAAGATAAAAATAAAATTAATTGATAAATTAAAACTTGCTTATCATTCATCTATTTACTCAAACATATCGAAACATGTAATGATTATATTGAACACAATTATGATTATTTTCACCTAATTCAAGCTTACGTTTATATTTTGAATTTATCGTTTTACTTATTTTCTTTCTTTTTATTTCTCTTAAAAATTTCAAGTTCCTCGTACACTTCTATGATATAATCAACATCAAATTACAAAATACACATTAGACTTCTGATTAAAGCTTAGCATGCATTGTGTGCATTGTGTGTATATAGAAGTTAGTGTTATGGCACAAAGGTTTGTAAATGTTATATAAGACTTATGAGGTATATTTGATGCATGATAGATAGGTGAGAAGGTATGATCATGTCTATGATCATGCATATGTCGAAACGATTTTTTTCTTAAGTGTTATTTTAAAAAACCACACATTTTTTTAATTTACCTCTTTTGATTAATTTTTAATAAAAAGTAATGTGATTTAAAAAAATCTCTCATTTCAAAAAAATTGAGATTTCTTTTAAAAATAAACCGTATGGTTCGTGGAGTCGCCACCAATCTTTGATTAGGGTATGATTGGGTACCCAAAAACATATTTTTTTCATTTTAATAAAAATATTAACTTTAATTAAAACAACAATTTTGAGGTATGTGTTACAAAAATTCGAGTTCGAGAGTCGGTTATGCGTGGGGAATGATTAACACCCTCACACTGCCTTAAATAGGTACCTAGTCAATTAATTAATTTTTTTGCAATGAAATTTACAAATTCGAATTTAATTTGATTTATGATCACATAAAACAACAAAATATGAATTTTAAAATGAAACATAATAATATTTACTTATTTCCTATCGAGAATAAACAAACCCCTTATACCTTGAGACAATCAATTCTTACTCTAATCGAAATAAAAAAATATTATAATTCCATCATAATATTCAAATGCACCCAAAACAAATTAAATTAAAAATTACCAAGCCTTTTTAGAAAGAAGAAAAATATTCGATTATTTAAAAACATCGAGATCATACCTTAGATAAGTTTTGACTATCTTTTCTCGAAAAATTTAAATAACCAAATATTTCTTTTTCTTTCGTTCCCAAATTTTAATTGAGAAATCATTTTTTTAGGTTTCACTGTTGGGATATACTTTCGATTTAAAATTGTCGAAAGCGGCTCTCTAATATATTAAGACAAGCCTCTTAAAATAATTTTAAATTAACAGAATATTACCCTTGATCAAATTATGTAATTATAGGTCGAGTTATGCGCTTGAGGGTAACATACAATTCGTGTAAAAAATGTAATTCGATTTATAAATTAATCATTCGCATACTTGCACATATATAAACATATCAACATGCAAAATAAATATAACAACTAATTAAAGAAAGTAATCCTAACCATGGACTAAAATAAAATTAGATTTAAGGAATTAATCTAAAAATAAAATAATCTAAATATAAAGATCAACATGAGAATAGAGACTAAAACCTAAATTAAGGCTCTAATTAAACATAATTATTTAATAGAGAAGTTACCTATCTTAATGGTAAATTTCTAAAGCCTAAATAATGTTAAAAAAATAAGAAAATAAATTACCCATGTAACAAACTTTCTCATGCAAAATTTAAATATGTAAAACAATCTAATTAATTAATAAAAATAAATATGAATTTCAGTTAGTATTTAACAAATTAAGCAAACAAGGAATTAAATCAGGAAACACAAAATCAACCAGGGATTAAATTCAAACTATTCGCAAGCTCAACTAAGGACTAAATTAAAATAAAACAAAAATTAGACATGCATATCAAGAATTAAGACATGGATTAAAATGAAAATACGCCTAAATATAAAGGACTTAAATATAAATAACCCAAAAATTTTAAATAAACCCTAAATCTAGAAAATAACAAAATAGGGACAAATAAAAAAAGAATAATTCGAAAGTAGTCCCTACATAGGTCTAATTTGAAAAAATGCACTTAAATTTAGAGGACTAAAACCTAATTTTACCCCTCAGAATTAACCCAAAATTCCTAATATATATATATTTAACCTTAATATTAAACTAAACCAACAGTCGCATTCATCATCTCCATCTCAAACACTTCCCCCCTTTCTTCTCGATCGAAATCCTCACTCTCAGCCGCCTTCTAATCAACCCATTATCGTCAACATTCGACCGAACACCACATCAGCCACCACCTCGGTGACCATTCTCCACTCGAACGCAGCCACTCATCACTCCAATGAACCGGCGCCTCTCTTCCCCTCTCTGTTTTTTCCTCCCTTTCGGCCAAGGCAAGCACCATGGCCACCTTCATTACACGACCTCGATGAGGGATTAAACAAACCCCAACAGGACCTTCTTCAAAAACTCCCAAACCTAGACCTATTTCACTCGACCGGATCTCCCCAAGAGCTACCCAAGACCCATCAACAAAACCCCAGAAGACAATAAGGCTTACCCTCGGCGATTCTTTGCCCCTCATCTCTGGTGGCTAACCGAGGTACCACGATGGCTTCAAATTCTGCAGGAACCTGAACCAGCAAGGTGAACATCTAGAGTCTCATATTCTATTTTTGTTGTTGAAATCCACTCTAAAGGGTTATTGAAATGATAAAGAACAAACACCTAAAATGAGTGTTGCTTGCATTTTTGGTTATGGAGTGCTCTGTGTTCGAATGGAAAGAAAATGAAGATTAGCGTATCGCTTGTTTTCTATTTGTATTTATCAATCGAAAAAATGGGGAGGGCCATTATAGTGTTTGCTCTCTGCGTAAATCGAAGGTGGGAACCCTGATCTTTTTTTTTGGATAAGTAGAATTTTATTCATCAAAAAAGAAGCAGCAAACTGCTACAAAGAACAACAAACAACCTAGATTAATCCCCATTCTAGGTTCAACCTCCTATTAACATCATCTATCCTATTTATATGACATCTATATAGTTTAATTCTAACAACCTCTTTAATGCTACTTACAATCGTGTCAGTAGAACGAATCGCACCTCGAAAGTGTCTGCGATTACGTTCTTCCTAAAGAAAATAAATAAAACCGGTCCACGCGAGCTTAAGAATATGAACAAGAAGGGATTTACCCTTTAGATTCAGGATCAACCAGTGCAAGGCCTCATCCCAGCAAGTTGGCGCCTGTAGATGCAGACCACATGCGTGCAGAATGTCTTCCCAAATCACTCTTGCAAAGGTGCATTCCAAGAACAAATGGTTTCGAGATTCCTCATGATCTCCACACAGACCACATACATTGACAGTAACAATGCCAAACCTTATTAACCTGTCCTTTGTTGGCAATCTATCAAGAATCACCATCCAAGCGATAATGGAAAATTTTGGAATATGAGATGGGAACCATATAAGCCTTTGCCATCCAACCTTATCCCTCCTATCTTGGATTCTATCCCAAATCCAGCCACCCTTAATCTGTGTCCAATTAGGAACTGGAATGAACAATCTCCTGGCCTCCTCTTTAAGTTTAATCAGCTTGTTGAGGATCCAACTGAAATGGGGTTTTCTGTCAACGTTCTAGTAGTTTGCATTTTTGAAGCAGTAGTCTTTAAGCCAAGCAATCCACATGGATCCCTCACTTGCCAAAATGTTCTTTACAAGCATCAGGCATCAAGCCTTACTCCAATCAGCTAGCTTTCTTAGGCCTAGACCTCCCTCGGATTTTAGGGAACAAATCTGACTCCAACTCACCATTGCACCCTGAGCTGAAACATCACAACCCTTCCAGAAAAAACGCATGCAAAGCTTTTTAATATCCCTAACTACCCCCTTGGGCAGGATAACCTGCATGCTCCAATAACCAAAGATGCTG